TTACTCTTGGATCAAAGACCCAAAAAACTTCAGTGCTGTTGAGCTCATTCTGATTCATAGTGACTGTTCATTGGGTTTCTGGGGCTGTAAATCTTAACAAAAGGAGACTAACCATCTTTCTCCCTTGAAAAGTCTAATAAATTTGAATTACAAACACTTAGGTTAGCAACACAACATGCCATGTATTATGCCATGAGTGCTCCTTCATGGATCTGGGAGTGTTGACTAACATAAATCCCACAGTTCCTTTATCTAGAGAAGAGGGAGCTTGTACCTGGGGTACTGGGCATTGCACTTATTACTCTGCCCACTGAGACAATTCTGACTCAAGTGACCCTTTTAGGACAGGATAATACTGAACCATAGAGTTACATAGGCTGAAGTTTTTGCTGAAGCAATTCCCGGGACTGTTCTCCCAAAGATGAACTGATAGTTTCAAACTGCTGACCTTTTTATGGGCATTTAAGTCCTTAACCATTACACAATTGTTGTTGTTAGGTGCTGTTGAGTACAACTCATAGCAACCCTGTGAACAGCCGACGTGAACCCTCCCCTGTCATGTGCCATATGCATTATCTCATACACTAGAGCCCATTGCTGAAGTCGCCATGTCAGTGCATCTCATTGAAGGTCTTCCTCTCCTTTGCTGACCCTCTAACGTTCCAGGCATGATGTCTCTTTCCAAGGAAGCTACATGTCCAAAATAAAAAGGATGTAGCTTTGCCATCTTTGTTTCCAAGGAACACTCTGGCTGTACTTTGCCCAAGACATATCTTTTGTCTGTCAAAGCATGTTCTTTTGACAGTCCATGGTATATTCAGTACTCTTCTCTAGTACCACAACTCAGAAACATTTCTTCTTCTTCTATCATCCTTATTCATTGTCCAGCTCTCTGATACATCACAGGTGATTGAGAATACCATAGCCTGAATCTGCCAAATCTTAGTCTTTGGACTTACATCATTGCTTGTCCACATTATTGAGAGGTCTCTGATAATGCAATGTGTCTCCTAATTTTCTGACTCCTGGTACCAACAGTGTTGATTTTTGATCCAACAAAAATGAAATCATTGACTGCTTTGATTCTTTCCCCATCTATCATAATATTTATTATTGGTCCTGTTGTGAGGATCTTTGTTTTCTTTATTTTAAGATGTAATCTATACTGAAGGCTACAGTACTCGATCTTCTGCAGCAAGCATTTTATATCCTCTTCACTTTAAACAAGCTAAGTTGTGTCATCTGCATAACACAGGTTGTTGATGGGTCTCCCTCCAATCTTTATGCCACATTCTTCACAGTGCCTGGCTTCACAAATTATTTGTTCAGCATACAGATTTAATAGGTATGAAGAAAGGATACAACCCTGACACACACTTTTCCTGATTTTAAACCATATAGTGTTTCTAAGTAGAAGAAATCCAAACATGGGGGCACAGAGCTTTGAACGTGTCTCTAAAAGGGCCAGAGGGAGTAATAGTAGTGAAGCCACTTGCCTCTCCAGAGCAGGAAGCAGATTAAAAAGTTCATAGTCCAGCCCCACCATGTCTCTAGAGCCACACAAATAGCAAGAGATTTGTCTATTCATTGCTGACTCATAGTTGTAATACTGAAAATGGGATTTATTAGGGAAGTAAGCTGGAAAGTGAAGAATGCAAATACTATCATTCAAGACAAATCCAGGTTTTAGCCCAAGTTTCAAGACACACATTCTCAGTTGGTCCAGTCTCTGGTTTCAGTGCAGCAGTCAGATCCAAATAATCCAGCAAGGTTTGCCTCAGAGCAGATATAAGTCAGCTTCTCCTTCAAGCATCCAGCAAGAACAGCAAAAGCTTTTAACTGTGGCCTTTATCTCCCAGTTCCTCTGCTTACACCTTGCCAGCCTACAGCAATGCCATAGGTTTTTACCACCAAGGTCTCACTCTTACCAAGGTCTTGCTCCAGTTTACTTCAAGTCTTGCTGCCCTGTGTGTATAAAGACACTTTCTCTTATCCTATTCCCACACCTGTGGATGATTTGCAAAACAAGAACCATATGATCTTAGCAATTGATACAGAAAAGGCATTTGACAAAATCCAACACCCCTTCCTGATAAAGACACTCAGCAAGATTGGAATAGAAGGGAATTTCCTCAACGTAGTGAAAAGTGCAAAACTGAAAGCAAATATCATTCTCAATGAAGAAAGACTAAAAACATCTCCTTTGCAAACAGGGACCAGGTACGGATGCCCACTGTCGCCACTTTTAGTCAATACTGTATTGGAAGTATTTGCTGGGGCAATATGACGAGGGAAGGAGCATCCAGATCGGCAGAGAGATGGTTAAACTGTTGCTATATGCAGATGATATGACAGGTACACAGAATACTCCAAAGACTCAACAACCTGTTAGAGCTAGTAGACCAGTTTAGTTGAGTGGCAAGATAGAAGATCAATATCCAAAAACAGTGGGATTCCTCTACAGTAACAGAGAAAACTCAGAAAAGGAAACCAAGAAAGCAGTACCATTTATAATACCAACCACAAATTGAGACACTTGGGAGTTAACCTAACTAGAGACACAAAAGACCTGTACAAAGAAAACTTACAGAATATTTCTGCAAGATACAATAAAAGACCTAAATAAATGGAAAAATATTCCCTGTTCATGGATAGGAAGACTCTGAATATTGTGAAAATGATAATCCTACCAAAAGCAGTCTACATAGTCAATGCAATCCTGATACAGATACCAAATGCATTTTTCAGGGAGATCAAAAGGGAAATTGTCAAGCTTATTTTGAGAGGAAAGTGACCCAGAATATGCAAAACACTTCTGAAAAACACTCCCTGACCTCAAAACCTACTACACAGCAGTAGTAACCAAAACACATGGTACTGGTACAATAACAGGCACACAGACCAAAGAACCAGAACTGAGAACCCAGAAATGGACCCAGCTATCTATGGTCAACTGATATTCAACAAGGAAATAAAACCTATCAAATGGGGAAATGGCAACCTCGTCAACAAATGGTGCTGGCAAAATTGGACTACCTGCAGAAAGCTGAAACGGGATCTGCATCTCATACTATACAACAAAAATCAACTCAAGATGGATTGGAAACCTGGGACTAAAGCCCAAAACCACAAAGTTCATCAGGGACAAACTGGGATCAAGCTTAGAAGGCCTAGTCTAGGGTATAAAGAGACAGCCAAATACAGCCAGAAATGCACAATCTGGAGAGGATAAAATTGATAAATGGGACCTTCTAAAGACAAACTTTGTCAATAAATCAGTATTTTTTAAAAAATTAAAAAAACAAACCCACCCTTAAACTGACAATATAACCCACAACGAAACCATGTGTTTGCAGTCTAGGTTAGCTGGAGACCAGAGGGGGCTAACTGTGATGGCTAAAAAAAGCCAACTTTTTGGCAAGCACCACAGTTATTACCTTGCTCCATTCAGATAACAACTTGGTCAAGAAAAATATTCCATATGAGCACAATTAAGTGTTCTGAAATTCCCCTTCTTCTCAGTGTTACCCATAATTTATTATGATCCACACCATCAAATGCCTTTGCAAATTCAATAACGTTCAAATAGTCATTTCCCCTAGTATTCTCTGCTTTAGCCTATATCCATCTGGCACTAGCAGTGATATCCCTGGTGCCACAACCTCTTCTAAGACCAACTTGAACTTTTGGTAGTTCCCTGTCAATGTACAATTCTGTTTGTGTTTGAATAATCTTCAACAGTATTTTACTTGCATGAAATAGTAATGTATTGTTTGATTATTTCCACATTCAATTGGATTGCCTTTCTTGGGAATGGGAACAAATACAAATTTCTTCCAGTTAGTTGACCAGGTAACAGTCCTCCAAATTTCCTAGAATAAACTGGTGAGCAGATCCAGGGCTGCATCTGTTAATTGAAACATGCCAGTTGGTATTTCACTGATTCCTAGGGCCTTATTTTTTGCCCATGCCTTCAGTTTAGCTCAAAGTTCATCTTTTCTTCACCACTGACTCTTGTTCATGTGGTACTTCTTGAACTTTTTCAATGACAGCTAATTGTTTTTGATACATTAATTCTGTGTATTCCTTTTGTCTTCTTTTGATGCTTCCTGGGTCATTCAACATTGTGCCTCTTTCAGTATGGCAACTTGAGGAATGAATTTGTTTAGTTCTTTCAGTTTGAGAAATGCCAAGCAAGTTCTTCCCTTTTTATTCACCATAAGAATTTCTTTTTACTGCCTACTCCATCTCATTGCGCTCAAGTCAAAACCAACACATAGCTGAACCTCCAGTGGGCTTATCTAAAGGGCAGAGATTGCTCATTTTACTTCTGCAGAGCTGCTGATGGTTTTAAACAACTGAAGTACAACACCCTCCAAACTATGCTATCAGAGCTGCCTACTCAGGACCTGAAAATGAAGACTTCAAGGTCTTTGCACAGAACACTCAGCAGTGGCTTGTTTTCCTCAATGATTGCATGTTCTCACTTCTTTGGAAGAACTGGAATTCATTTGTATTGTGGATTTTCCTCTATGAAACTAATTTTCAAGACCAAGACCAAAAAGTAATAGACTTCCAGTCTCAGAAACTTTCCAGAAGATACATCTGAAAGCAGAGCTTAAATTCTTGGGCAGTGGCTTTGAAAGTGTGACTCTCAGACCAGCAGCTTGTGCTTCTCCTGAAACTTGGCAAAAATGCAAATTCCATGTCCCCACCCAGGCTCAAGTCTTCCAGGTGACAAATTCACACTAAAGTGTGAGATTGCAATGGAGTGTTAACTAATTTTGTAGAGAGGCTGTGTTCTATCTGAACAAATACTTTGCTCTTCATTAACTTCTCAAGAAAAGGTAGAGGTATGTGTGAGTTAAATATTTCACTTAATCCAATGTTGTGCATGTTGAATAAAGGAGACCTGCTGTTAATATCTGTCAGTACAACTGAAAAGATATTTTTGCTGACTTTCGCCCCCTGTATTTTCTCTTTGTATTTGCACATGGTAGACGAGTTGGATTTTATGTCAATACTTTCAAAAATGTCTCTAGCCTTGAGGCCAAGTTCCATAAGGAAATTGCTGTGGTGAGTTCAATGACCATTTTTACTCATGTACTATAAAGCTAATTAAGATTTCTTCTGGAAATTAATGAAATGCATAGCATCATGCTAAGGAATTCACTCTTGAATGTTTGTATTGTCTCTAAAGCATGTGGAGTGTTCTCAGTAATGTTTATTCATTTTTTTTTTAATTGGCCACATAATTCTCCCTGTATTTTGTCTTTTTCAAAAAATTATAATTTGATTGCAGGTTTACATAACAAATTAATTTTTCATTCAACACATTGTTATATAACATTAATTTTACTACTCACAATGTAATCATTCTTTTCTTACTTCTTCCCCCTAATTCTGATTTCCATACCTCCCTCAGCTATATCTTTCTGTCCCTTTAATAATAGTATGTTGATCATCCCCTAAATGTACGTGGCCTTTCTCCTCCACCCATCTCAGTGTATGTCTATTATCTAGTAAGTTTTATTCCAATCTCTCTTCCTCTCTATCCCTGGTCATCATCCAAGAATGATTCTATCTGTGTATAAAGCTTTTGTTAGCTTAAAAAAATAAATTGAGATTTTAATGAAAGTTTATCAAGAACTTGGGTTTCCAGTTGTTCATTGTTGCACATTTTCCTCCCTGCCCACTCCCCCAGATCGCTTTTTTCTCTGGGGAAAAAAGTTATTTCATTGTTATACACCACCACCCCCACCACCACTTTACTATGCAGCTCTTATTCTGGACTCTTGTCAACACTACCTAATTATATATTCCTTTTATACACTTCTCTCCCTCGTCTGATTCAATGCCATGTAGATTATTTATTCCCTCCTTTTTGTTACCTTTTTATTATAATGATCTCATTCAAAAGCATGAATCGCTGCCTGCTTTTATTCCCGCCTCCCTGACTTATTTCTGTCATTGTCACAGTCTTAGTCTTTCTTTATTTTTCCTCCCAGTTTATAAAGCTGGAATTTCAAATGATACTTTAGGCTGATGGGAATTTCTATTGTGAAGTATTCACATAACCAGAAGCTTTGTCATGGACTAATGTTTTCTTAGTTCAGTGTGACAGTTGTGTAACTTTATGTCGGGTAGAATCATTGCATACAGAGCTTTCCTTTCCTGCTCTGTGTTCTGATTAATGCATTCAGTGGCTAAAGGAATGGTTGTAGGTTCAAGTCTACCCAGAAGTAGTCTGGAAGAAAGGTCTGTCAATATTCTTCTGAAAAATGAGCCATTGAAAATTAACAAGCAGAATTCTGTTCTGAATCACATGAGGTTACCATCAATCACAATAAATTCAATAGCAACTGTGTCTTGTATTATTTTTTACTTTCTCTGGCTAGTAAATATATTTTCCCCTTGATTATTTTGTATTGTGGCCTTTTGATTTTTATTTTACATTTTAACCTGAGAAATATACAGAATTTAAATTATCCTGAGACCAC